CCTCTCTGGAGCTTTTACAGCCACATCTCCAGTCCAATTGGCTCAGGCGTCCCTCCCCACTGTCCCACCATGTCACATGCACACCACTGACAAAAGGAATTGGTAGACACCCGCCTAGAAGGAAAGGATCATTTTGTACCTGAAAGTTGAGTAATGAATGGACTGTAACTTTCTTAAGAAGTAAGACATCATCAAGGTCAATGACTCAAAATGAAGAGAATGGGGTGCAGAATGCATTATATTTTGTTAAAATACATTTACATTACCTTAATTTTCCCTGAAAATAGTCAAGAGTTTAACATCTTCTTTTAAAAGTCATATAGAAAGGTTATTAATACTTCCATGCTAAGTGACTATTTTAATCTGCCTTTATGAAACCTGCTTCCTAACTTATGAAACATAGCAAGACACTAAACAGTGAAAAAGTTTTCAGTTTGCAGATTTCCTCTTCCTCTCATGGAAAGAGAGAGCACAAATGAAACATTGAGCAAATTACTTTATCGAAAAGAAGGTGACATCGGCTTACCTCAAGGGGAGACAAACATCTCAATCTGATGAAGAGGAACCAATAAGAAAGTACATGGAATTGGCTTGAGTTCTAATTTAAAGTGGATTAAATACATACAGATATAAGTCATAGAAATGCACCATTTTAGGAAAAGATTTGTCCATCAAATATTTTACTAAGAGTCTAAATGTTGCACAAATGTCAGTTCTGCTCATCACTAGATATATATGACAATTTTTTTAAAAATAGAAATTAAGGTGATGTTTCCTGTTGTTTCTAAATTATAGACTTGAGACACTAGCACATATGAAAATTTTTATTTTTTCCTAGTTTCTCAACCTTAAACAGCAACTGGGACTAGGCTAATAATGGTGATGGCTGATCAATGCTCTGAAGAGAAAGGCAGCTCACCCAGGCAATCAATTTACCTAAGCAAGTCATAGGCTGAGTTCTATAGAAAAATAACCCGTTATTTTTTAGGCATATTATAAATTTTTCACTGAAAATAAATTTTTATTACAGATGAAGCACTGACACTATATTTCAATTTATATGAAATGATACACAGTTTTGAAATGCAATTTAAAATAAATATAAACACACTATTTGTATTTAAAATAAATAGTGGAGTGGTCCATCTTGGCAAGGAGGAATATTTTATCATTGACATTGTTTGGAATTGCCAATGTGAGTGATAATGAAAAGCAGACTGACTTTTAGCCAGTTTTATTATTGATCTTAAGCTTCTCTTTCACTTGTCCCTGAAGCTGGCTGTTCCCATCCATTGTTATGCCACAGCCTCAATAACTGCCTCAAATCCTTTTTAGAATGACACAAGTATAAATGCAGGGATGCAAAATACCTAGGAATTAAATATGCCTAGAAAATATATTTAGAAACCTCAGAATACCATTGCCTATAGGACATCTTATTTAAGCCATTCTGATAAATCTACAACTGCTATCAATCATTGCTTAACCTGCTTTCCATTTCTCCATTTTGCTTTAGGAAGATGGAGTTAACTCTCCTCTCAATCACAATTGAACAGTGTTCCTTTGTTGGAATTTTGGCAGAGCCCTGCTGCAGCCATCTAAGGAAGACTTCACCTGAACTTACTTTGCACTGTGGGAGATTGCCCAGCCCTGCCTCCGCCCCGCTCAGGGAGTGCAAATTCCTGCGTAATGGCTGTTAACCCAAAAGAAGCTAATAAGACTCCTTCTACATTCTTAAATTCTTAGCCTTCATCAGGTATTGCAAATTCAAATGCATAGGGCCAGCCAGGTTATGTAAATGAGTCAAACAACAATTAATGAGGCAAACTGGAGACCTGGAGACAGTTGTGTATTGGAAAATGTTCTTGGACCTATTGTGTAATGGTCAGCACTCTGGACTCTGAATCCAGCGATCCCAGTTCATATCTCAGTGGGACCTCCAATTTTATTTTTAAAAATTTTTTAAAAAAAGAAAATGTTTCACTTGGTCACATCTGTGTAAAAAGAAAATGTTCTTGCATGCACCACCACGCCCAGCTAATTTTTCTATTTTTAGTAGAGACGGGGGTCTCGCTCTTGCTCAGGCTGGTCTTGAACTCCTGAGCTCAAACAATCCTCTTGCCTCAGCCTCCCAGAGTGCTAGGATTACAGGTGGGAGCCACCATGCCCAGCCATGACAGTTAGATTTGGACAACAAGTTATTTTATCATAAAATGTCCCATAATCTCATTTAATTTGTTTTATTTATATCCCTCCCCACTTTTTTTCATTATTTTTATATACCTATCCTTTTAAATTGAAACATTTTCTGCACTTTGTTTTAGGTCTATTGCTTTATTGTTTTAGGTCTATTGCTTTTTTAGGTCTAAGCATAAGGTTGGCTTCTGTTTTTTGACCAAATATGAGAATCTGTTGTTTTAGTGAAGATATTTTATTCCATGTTCTATGCTTTTGAAATGCTAATTTAGTTTTATGTCTCACTATTTAGACTTCCTTTTTTAAAAAAATTTATGCTTATTTGGTTGGTTTTTATTTCTAACCTCCAGGATTTTGAAAATTAGTTTCTTTTTTATTCCACTAACTAACTCTAAGCCTCCAAAATTAATTCTTTAATGATATTCCTCTGTCAAAACCAAGAGATGATTTTTAAATTGAATAATTGAATTTTTTCAGTTGCCCCTACTTGAGATAAGGAATTAAGTACATTCTCCTTCTCTTCTATCCACTTCCAATATTTTTTGGTTAATCTGGAGTTTAAACTTCACATTCTTGTTCATTTTATATTATCTATACTCTCTTTAAAGGAGATTGTGGGATATTCACATTCTGCTTTTTTCATCCTGATTCTCCTTTTTCTGCCTTCAATGTATTAATAGTTGTTAAGTCTGCAATTGCGTCCCAGCTGTGAGCTGACTTCTTAATTCATCTAATTCCCTTTTTATCCAACTGCCTTTTTGTTTCAGCTATTTTTCACTTTTGGCTTTCTCTCCTAATTCATAGAGATCAAGTCTTTCTGAACTATTTTAAGAATGTCAAAAAGTCTTGTGAAATATTCTTCTGTTCTCCGTGTTCTGTGATGACGTTTAAAGGTATGCTTTCCTCTGAATTGCATATATATTAATAATATTTCTTGACTTTTATTTTTCAGGAAATCTGCTTTGGAAGTAAATCTTAAATTTGAGTAGAGTTTTCCTAGTCTAATCCCATCTGCCTTATAATTATAGTCAGTCCCTCCCAGATTCTGTCACTGGGTTGTGCAGTGGACTTACGGTGTTTTGTTATAGCAGCCTGAACAGACTAAGACAGGTATCTAGTTTTGGGTGATGGTATGAATGTGCATATTGTACTGCATCTTTGCAGATATTTTAGTAAGAAATAAACCAGAAGTCTCTTTATTTATAAGGCTTTCTCACAAACACTGCCCCTGAAAGACTCTAGGGCTAACCCCCTTTCAATATCAAGATCCAACATACTTATCTCTCTCTCTCTCTCTCTCTCTCTCTCTCTCTCTCTCTCTCTCTCTCTCTCTCTCTCTCTCTCTCAAACACACACACACACACACACACACACACACACACACACACACCCATTGCTGCCAGGTGATTTAAAACTCCTTTCCATCTAATTCTGATGTCAATAGTGGAAAAAAAAAATCTCTGAAAGTCAATTTAAAAAGCTTCTGCCAAAAAAAATGTATGGAAGTCAATCAAAGAAGATTTTGCCATCAGGTGCTTAGATTCATTCCTATATCACAGTGGCCACCCATAAATTGGGAGGTTCACAGGGTGACACCTAAAGTTTGAACTCAGACGCTAAGTTCATACACCAAGGAAATATAAGTGCTCAGCTTGCCTGCCGGGACCATCCTTCTCCCTGCCACCACCCAGGAAATGGATCCTGGTGGGTGGTCTTTCCCACAAACCAAATAATGGTCTTGATGTATTTAAAACTCATTTCCCCTTGAGGAAAGTGGGCTGCCACTAAGTGCTGTGTGCCCCAGAACATGATGCCGCACGCTCGCCGTGATAACCAGGGGCTTGGTAAATGTTACTGAAATCCAGACAGTTGAGAAAGACACCTCCGTGTGCTGCTGAGGTCTTAATCTTGCCAAAATTTACTGCCTGCCCTGGAAGCCCAGAGAGGGATGGCAAATCCAGTGGGGGCAGGGAGGTACAGCAGCAGTGTCACCTGCCCTTCCCATCGCTAAGGGAAAGGGCGGATCTGAGCAGCCCACCAGAGTCAACACATCAGTCATGGAGGTGCAAATAATCCTGAGGTCTATGTAGAGACTTAGGGGGAAACCCAAAGCAGGAGACATCCAGACTTGAGAACCCCAGAGTGGACCTAACGTCAGTGCCCTCCCTGGTGTACACACATGCCTAAGGTCTCACAGGCCCTTAACTCAGGGGTGTGTGTCCAGTGGCCCCAGAGACAGCATGTCCTCTACCACGCCTCTCCGGGCCCTCAGCTCCTGTGTCACTCTCCAGCAGCATGAGGTGACACAGCCTGGCCCAGTCCTTCAGATGGCTTCTTGTCACACAGCTAACTTTTTCTTCCTTACTTACTTTCCTTCCTTTATTTATTTTCATCTTTCTTGGGGGGTGGGGGGAGAACTTATGTCAAGCAGTTGAACTCAGTGATCTGAGTTGCTGCAGATATTTAAATACTGCTAATAAAACAGAATCCAAAGGATGAAAGTCTCCATTATGACAGGTGTGATTAAACTCTCTGGCATGATTCGTCTCTGTTATGTTAAAACATAGAACATGAGGAAAAAAAGATAAAGACATCATCTTTATCACCATCAGAAGGGGAAAAAGCCTCTCTCTACATATTGAAGACTGCACCTCTGCTCAGAGAGAAATTTTTAAATCCACTCATGGTTGTTAATAATCAGTGAGCCAGCCATGATCAGAACATTTGGGAAGGAATTGATATTTGTGTTTGAAAATAAGATAATTTATATTAATGTGGACAATCAAGCTAGAAGTCTCTACTACCTGATGAAACTGCTAACATGAAGTGTGGAGAGCAGGATAATAGAAGCTTCCTGGTCACGCAGCCCACAGGGAGGCTCATGGCACTGAGGCAGGGCTCGGTGTCCATGCGGATGCTGGAAGGGGAGTTGTTAGTATGTTCCATGGACAGCTTGATTTGGACCCAGGGATTGGGGGCTGCAGGTTTTATAGGAGAGTGCTGTGTGACATAGTGGTTCCTGGCAGTGGTATTCAGTGTCCTTAGGGCTTCAGTCAGTTTTGGGAGTGTCACAATTGCTAATGACATCATTCTCTCTTGCATTCTAATACACTTCCTTGAATAGAGGAGAAAGAGGTAGTAGAACAGATACTCTGGTGATTTCAAGAAATCCTGGGTACTCCCAAGGAAAGGTACCCTCCCGAGGTAGGGAGGAGAAAAGTCTTGCTAATTTGGAAGTTTTCTCTACTCTTTCCCTCTCTTACCACCCATCCCAATAGACACAATCTCTCTCTGTCTCTCAATCTTTGTCTCAATTTGTATTCAGTTATATATAATATCAGACATAGAGTGTGTGGAATTTTATATGAAAGGAATTAGAGTACTTGGAATTTACCAAGCATTTTGGTTTGTGTTGGGTAAAATGTTTTAATTAATCTGATTTTATTAATAACGATATTCTACTTAGCCATCCATGGAATATGGATTTAAGAAGACAAAACAACTATATATAAAGCACTTCATTAGAAACTGCTTTCTTTTTTTTTTTTTTTTTTGAGACAGAATCTCACTCTGTTGCCTGGGCTAGAGTGCCATGGCACCAGCCTAGCTCACAGCAACCTCAAACTCCTTGGCTCAGATGATCCTTCTGCCTCAGCCTCCCGAGTAGCTAGGATTACAGGCATGCACCACCATGCCCGGCTAATCTTTTCTATATATTTTTAGTTCGCCAATTTCTTTCTATTTTTAGTAGAGACGGGGTCTCACTCTTGCTCAGGCTGGTTTTGAACTCCTGACCTTGAGCGATCCACCCACCTCGGCCTCCCAGAGTGCTAGGATTATAGGCATGAGCCACCGCACCCGGCCAAAAACTGCTTTCTTGATATAGCAGAATAAACCTTGCCTTGGAAGCCAAAGACCTAGATTCTACTCATGGTTCTGCTACAAAGTAGACTGTGATCCTGAATTAGGTATTTTGACTTCTCAGGCATTGCTTTTCTTATCACTCTTACTAAACTTTGAGGTCAAGGATCCCTCTGAGAATTTGATGAAGCTTCCCAGAGAAATGCACATAAATACAGAATTTTGCACACAATTTCAAAGTTCTTGGGCTCTTCACCAAAACTTACCTAGGACTTCGTGTGAGGGTGAACTACAGGTTAGGAACCCCTAACAAGAGGAGTTCTACAGCCTTTTCCAGCACTCATATGCTGTAGCTGTGTAGGCCTGTGAGCAGGAGAGAATACTGAAGAATTTATTTTAGGAGAAAGAGGAAGATGAAAGAAGAAAAGGAGAGAAAAGAAAGAAAAACAGAATGAGGAAGAAAAAAAGAAGTTCTATGTTCTAGTAACTTGAAAAACACTTAAAAATCCAGTCTTTAAATGAACACTTAAGTGAATTAAATGTAATATAATTGAATTTCATGTTATCAAAAAAAATGAAATGTAACATTTTAACTCATTTTAAAGTTATACCCCTCAAAAAAATAAAATAAAATAAAGTTATACCCTCTTGGGAACAATAAAATAATTTATAATAAGTAAAATAAAGAAAGAAAAATGGAAGCAAAAATCATTTAGCGTAACTAAATGATTTTCTCAAAATGTGATTAAACACTTGGAATGTTATGATAATTGAGTTAATCTTTACATTTTTTTAATCATCTGATTTCTATGGCTCAGCTCTTAAAATTTGGGGGGGGGAATAAACTTAGCCTGTAGATTTTGAGTTTTATGAGAACACATCACTACTTTCACTTTTGTAAATGCAATTTTAGCTACGCAGTATAGGTTTTCAATTTAAATGATGTAATTAGCTTTAGATGAATGTCTTATGCCAAGTCCCAAGCAGAATGTAGCCTCTGGAAGTGGCTAACCAGAGAAGCCATGAGCTCAACAGCGGAGCGCGGGGCTGTCGCCCTGGAGGTGGGGACTAGGCAAGCCCCGGTCCTACCTGGGGCTGGGTTGTTCCCTCTGCACATGAAGGTGTTGAGCCTGATAATCTCCAGACCGCCTTCTGCTCTGCTTTTACATCTATTCTGCCTTCATCACAATCCTCAAGGCTCTCTCAAATTAACAAAAGGGGCCAGAACCAATTTCTTTTCAAACACAGACACCTGTGCATTTGTGGCTAAATATATGAAAGGTTCAAATTGGAGCAGGGAAAATACAAGTAAAATAAAATCTGACCTTATGATAATTCCCCAAGCATGCTTTCTAACCATTGTAGGTTTTCCCAGAAAGTAGAGGAAAAGCAAGGGGAAGGAAGAGTGCGTGTGTTAGCATACGTGAATATTATCCGTGAGTATTTATCACTAATATGCCCTTAATATTCTGCTAGAAGAAAATAAGTCAAATAGTTTCCTGACTCTATGTGTAAGCTAAAGTGAGCAACAGCAAACTAGGCAAACATAAATACGCTTATTTCAACAAGATTTATAGCAGAGGTTGAACACCTAGAAGGGCCAGGCTGGCAATTGATGTCAAGGTGTGAAGCGAGCTACTAAGTCTGATGTGATAGGGAGTGGTGGGGACTGTGGAAAAGAAAGCATTGTGTCAGCCACAATAAGCACGTCTGCAGGTGAAACTGAGGCACATACCAGATCCAGTTTGCAACTCGGACTTAGAGGCTCAGAGCGGTGCTTCTTGAGGCTGCCCAGCTACTTGAAGGCAGAGCAAGAATTCAAACTAAGGCCTTTTCACTCCCAGACCAGAACTTTCTCCACTTGACCACAGCTTCCTCTCATCAAAGGGCCAAGTAGATTCCCTTCATAACAGATGTTGGTGTCATCCTCTCCTGCCACTACTGCCCCTCAAGCCACATGCCACACCACCATCAGACTCTTTCTCTAAAACACCACTCTTACAATGTCCCTTCCCGGCTCCAAAAGCAAGAGGCCCTGCTATTGAGGGCCGCTCCCATCAGGCCCTACTTAACCCGAATCAGACTGCCTGGGACCAGAGTGGGTAGACGCCTGGTTCTCTGTCATCATTCACACCTTTACCCTCTATTCATCACAGGCCTCCTTCTGGAAAGTTCTCTCCCCCCGCCATTATCCAAATCCTTTACAAACAAATAGTGAGCTCTATACTAGTCTGAGCTCTTCATGCTAAAATAAGAAGCACTGTTTTGCAAAGGAGGTTCCTTTCCAAACCCCTTCTACTTTCTCTTCTTGACCTGGGCTAATACTAACCTTGAAGACAGTCTTCCTTTCGGAATCCAGTGGTTCTTACATTCCCTAAAGGGCTCAGTGACAGAATAACCAGAGAGCCCAGGAGAGGGATCAGTGTTGAGCTGCAGAGACTTTGTGCATAAGCAGGGGAGAAGTTGCTCGTGTGGACAGTTACGAGGCTTTCCCCTGAGAGGCTGACATGAACCCATTTCTCTGACTCATGGAACAATGCCCTGTGAATGACAGTGACATCAGCCATACGTCACTCCCAGAAAGAGAAGCAGCAAGTAACTTGGTTGATGGAGGGTAAAGCACTCTCCCATCATCCAAATCTGGCACCCTTTTTGTTGGGACAGAGGGAAGAGCTAGGAAGAGGACCCTAGGGTGCTGGAAGAGAAGTGGCATCTGGTGTCATTTTTAAAAACCTGCTGAAGCGTGCTTGACATGCTTCGTGCTTTAGCATCCAGAATGCTGCATCGCTGGTAACTCTCAAGGTTGATTCTCTTTTTTATTGCTCATATTTTATGGCATTTAATTCCTCCAATTTTCAGGCTGGCTCAGGTGCAGTAATGCAATTCTGGGTCAGGGGTAATTCTTACACATGATTAGCAAGCTGAAGGGGCAGTGTCTTTCCAAAGAAGAATTGTTCACCTGAAGTAATTAGGCAGCGGTCCCTAGCTTCTAAATATTCTCATTACAACCTATCTCTCCCCGCCAAAATGGGACTTGCTCTGGAATTTGGACCTTCATGTGGGCACTGTTCCCGTTTGTGGGTTTGGGATGGAGCAGGGATGCTACTGCCTTTCATTTGCCATGAATGAGACTGGCAGAGGGAACAGGGCTTTCATCAGCAAGCCCTGCAGGAAGCCATCCTGGGCGGCGTGAGCCTGCCAGACATTCAGATCAAAAATCCACAGGCTTTATTTAACTCTCCCTGGAAGGAGATATAAAGGTTACAAAATAATGAGGAAGAGCTCTGTTGAGGAGGAACCCATGGGTCACAACCTCTTTGTTAAAACTGACAAAAGAGTTGGAAGATAAACTCTATGAGGAACAGAGTCAGAGCTATTTAACCTGCTGAAGAGGAAGCTGGAAGGAAACAAACTCGCAGGCTTCATGCATATGAAGCGCTATTATAATATGGGAAGCTGAGCAACTGTTTCCCGATTCCTCTGAGGACAGGTAAGAAATGGGCTCTAAGAGCAGCAGAAGGATTTGCAGGTATTTGAGTATGTTGGAAAGAGCAGATGTTAAGACTTCGAAAATTTGAGTTCTTAACCCTCCTCCTCTGCTAGCCAGTTGACAAGGTTCTGTGCCTCTGTTTCATGGAATTAGAATGGGATAGCAACCTACTGCCATAGGACTACTATGAGAATAAAAAGCACTGATAGGCACAATATTGCATTTTAAAAGTGAAGAGAGTTAGCAAAATTTAAGAAATTATTATCTCAGCTTTGACAAATGATAGGTAAAGGGTTTGATGTCATTTTCAAAAATACTACATGTTATAACTTACCTGGTTACCTTATTGGGTAGAATATATTCAGACCCATACATACATTTAATTCTCAAAAGCAAAACATAAGATTGTGTGTATATGTGTGTGGCTGTGTACACGTGTGTTTGAAGACAAAAAGGGTCATTGCTATGTTCTGAACATTTGTGTTCCCCAAAATTCATATGTTGCAACCTAATCACCAATGTGATGGTGGTGTCAGGAGGGGGGGCTTTGCAGAGGTAATTGGGGCAGAGCCCTCCTGAATAGAATTAGCCCCTGAGAGCTGCCTCTCCCCACCCACCAC